GCACAGCACCTCTGGAACCCTCTGAGATCGGAGGTTTGCGAAGACAAATTTACCTGTGTTGAAGGAGGAAAAGAATAAGCCGCGCCAAGTGTGCCAATCACCTTAATCTTGCCACATGATCCGAAGGAAAACGCTGAGCCACCATGCACCATGTAGTTCATGCTATAGGGTATAAGTGTAAAGTATAAGTGTAAAGTAGATGATTCACGAAGGGTGAAGTAGATAATCGTAAATTGTCGCCAGCGGTCAAGCTTGAAATTATGGTAGCCAGACATGGTTATGCAGCGAACTGCGTGGTCGTGGACTTTCAGAAGGGCCGTAAACAAAGCGGGCGTACCCAGTGGGAGACCACCTATGCTCACTGATTGCCGGATGTGGCAAGCAAGCTCGTCAACCTGCAAACGTCACCATTGCACACAAGATATGCTATCTTGAGTTGTATGTTCGGGTTGAAAAAGCCTTGCGGGCGTCGCGCCACGAAGTCTCTTCGCTCGTTGACAAAGGACGGTCAATTCAACGTTGCAGATTGATTAGTGCCAACTGTTTTGACATCTTCAGTATGTGGTTAAGCAATTGACCGGAGATAAGAGACACACCTGTTTTGCGAAACCGAATGCAAGCTTCTTACCATCGGTATCCCACGAAAGGGAGCGATCTGGTAGCGACTCTACGCCCCCGTTTTGTCCGTTGACAGCATGATCAGCTTCTCCTTCTGACCTTGCTTTATCGGAGCCGGGTACGGCCCAAGTAGCCATGGCGGTACCTCCTCTCTCTGCATTCCAGATAAACAATCTGTCGCGGCTGGCAGCAGCAACGGCGTAACCGTCAGGTGAGAAACAGGCGGCCAGAGCTGGCATTGACTGTCCGAGGACCAGGCGATGCAGACAGATAAACCGTTTTGCTTCTAGGTCAATTTGCCAGATCTTGACTGTATCGTCGGTGGATGCGGAGGCAAGAACGACAGAATGACCAAGCTGGGTCTTTTCAAATGACTCGGGATGAGGACGCATCTCAATGGACGTAATATCTCCTTGGTGCGCGTCGTCGAGATGCATATCATGCGTTGGCACCCAAAATGCAGCAGTATCAGAGGATGCAGCCACTGCCACAGCGGAGGAGCCGGCGTTCGCACAGCGAACGAAGGACCAAACTCTATCTGATCCACCCCACGAGAAAGTCCTGGCAATACGAATGCTGGAGTCCACATCGCACTGGTAAACTACGCCGTGGCCGCTGGCATAGGCCTGTTTGTGCCCGAGCCAGCTAAGGTCATAGATTGAACCATCAACCACTTGAGGAGAAGGAAACTCATCTGGTCGCAACGAGTCATCCCAGATTGCCAGCTCGGAAATCTTGCTATCGGATGCCACTACAATCAAGTGGGAGCTATTGTCGGCCCAGTGAAGACCAGTGATCATGCGTGGTACCTCTGGAAGGAGGTCAACAGCGTTTCCAGCCACATCGTACATGGTAATGGAGCCTCTCATGTCGTTATAGGTGGCTACAGCAAACTTGTGGCCCTTGGGGTGCCACGCAACGGCCGAGACGCAATTGCCGTCCCCTCTGCTCTCGACCAACTTCTCCTGCACCGGACCGGAAGAGGTAGATTGTAACCTCCACAAACTGCAGAACGTATCTCCAGCTGCAAGGACAGTGGTGGGATCATTGGGCCGCCACAAGGTGCGCGTCACGTGATCGCCTCCAGCCACATTCAGGATGGTGGTGTTCGGGCTGAGGTCAGCAGCCTTGGCGGGACTGATCTGGACACCCACGCTTTGGCCCGTTGTCAGTGTGAAGGTTGGCGCCGCGGCTTCTTCCTGCTCCTGCAGGTCTGGTCGTACATCCATGTTCACGTCACCATCGCCATCCACGTTCATTTCGGCAGGCGATGGCGACGCGGCGACAGTTGGTTTTTTTTCTGTTCCCACGCCATTAGTGTCTACATCCATAGGGACTTCATCACCGTTGACTTCTCCGCGATCGCTTTTCCGAGCTTTTTTGACAGTAGCGGGCGGTAGTTGGGGACCACCAGCCTCGGCCGTCGGGTGACCATTACTCACGCCGCCCTCTCGCGCAGCTTTGCTTGTAGACGAGTCAGCCGCTTGGTCAGTGCCGGTACCCGCCTCTTCTGGACCAGCTTGGCCTTTTTGTGTTTCTAGCTCTAGCGACACCGGTCCGAAGAAATATTTTGAAGGTGTGAATGGTGTCGGATTCCCATCCTGTAAGCAAGATTAGAGATCTCCGACAATAGATTTTTGAGGAAGACCAAAAAAAGAAATTTAAAAAGGGGTGTGATGCTTTCAACAATAGAAACATGCCTTGTCAATGGACTGCTCCAGTTCGTAATATTGGAGTCCCTTTTGAACTAGAGATACCAGTGCGTGCGTTCGAATGTAGGGAGCAAACGGCAAGCTCTGCGGATCATGATTCCATGCGCGCTGCAGCGTCACTGCAGCTTCACCATGGCCTGGATACGAAGTTAGATCAAGATATTTGGATATGGATTCGCCTTTGCGAGATATCTGATTTATTGGCGAGAGAGCAAAGACTAAAAGCTGTGAACACCAACCTGATTCTTGAAGATACCTAATGCGTGGTCAGTGTCCTGGCAATGTGAGAAATCCACCATCATGGTAGGATTGTGTGGCCGTAGAGAATAAGAATCCAAGGCCGGCAAGGGTGATCAGCACATACCTCCATATCAGGTAATTAACATGATGTGACGTGAGGTCGGGATGTGCCATTGTGACATGCGAAGCAACTAGATGCAGAATCCGCTCGCATGCCAGGATTGAGGATATTCAGAATAAAAAGGTCCTCAACTGGAGAAGAAGGCGAAGATCGAAAAGATGGCGCGGTATAATGGGCTTGCGAGATTCAAGATCCGAGGGATTGACTGGGTGGGCCAGTAAAACAAAAAGAAGGTTCCTTCGCCGATTTTCCTACCCTGTCGAACTTAGGTGGGAGACGCGGAGTCCTTTTTTGGGGTCAAGAGGGGAGGCTCTATTGGGACAGATGCAGCCAAGACTGTGACAAGGGAGAAATAATAATGAGGAAGAAGATGAAGGGAAATAAGAATGAGTTTCAGGAACAACGCCAATAGAAGTGACGAGGAAGGGGCTCGTGAATGAAGATGTAAGGAACCAATAGTAAGTAATAGGTACTAGCTGTAGGTTCTTCCTCAACTTGTACCTAGACAAGCTAATGCGAGTGTTGGCAAAGAGCAGAGATGAAGGTAAGTGAAACTAGTCCTGTGCTTGTGTAGGAAAGATTATTTCTTCCGTTGAAGAACAGTAGGAAGTAATAATGATTAATGAAAATAATAATGAATAATAATGGAAGTCATGAGACGGAACCGAATTGAGAGCAATGTGTGGCTCAAGGATTGCAGGCCCACTAGTAGTGAACTGCAGAGGTTGGGAGTCGAGAAAGAAGTTGGATCCAGATCCCAGATTGTTGCTGACTGTCCACTAAGACAAAGACTGCAAAACTGCAAAAGGGTAAACGTCTTTGTGAAGAAGAAGAGGAGGAAAAGGAAGATTGGGTAGGTATTTTGCCTACCTAGGCGGCTCTAAGTCTGGGGCCTTGGTGCTTAAAGTTTCACCTTCCAGCCAGACTCCAGTGGTAAGGTCACTGGTTAGGCTAACCGTGTCCAGTTAACGACAAGATATCCAAAATTCGAAGTCGAAAGTCAAGAATCCAAAAGGCATGGAGACATGATGGGCTTGTGTCTCGTTGTGGCGTTTAGCCCACAATTCCACCATCTGGCTTAGGCTAGGATTAGACTAGCGCATAGCGTGCAGTCAGAAAACCCACCAGCCCCCTTGGGACTTTACGCTTTTGGGTATTTTATCTAGCTAAGGTAACTAAGGTAGGTAAACTTCTGACGGCCGAATGATCGTCTAGGGCGTCTCTTTATTTTTTTTTATTTTTTCTGATTCTGTTGGTTTGTCTATTGGGGTCTAGGGTCAGCGCTTCCAGCCTAAACCTTTTCTTCATCTAGATACGGCTATCTATGTAAGATTCGCTGCCCGTAATATATCTCCTCGATGTTGCTGCTTGTGCTGGATATTGTGTAGATATATACTACGGAGTACTACAAGTCATAGACAAGGTACTGAGAATGATCCATTTCCAGTGGAGTGCCCTTCCAGAGCTGCTCAGCCTCATTTCGGTGCTCCTGTTTAAGCTCTGGAAAAACCTCCTCTGGGACTCCGCTTGATGAGCCTGCTCAATAGATTGTAAGGCGCAGCCAGCCGTGCAGTCAGTTCCGACACGGGCAATGTGCGGGACATGCTCACAGTTTCCCGAGCCATGAAGGAAAAGCATCACATCAATAGTACTCATCATAAGGAAAGGCGGCTAGCTGCGAACGGTAATCGATGGGCTGTTCCATTCGACAAGAAGTAGACGACAATGAGTTTTCGTTCCTAATATATCTCTATGATCGCAAAAGATGTCATCGTGGACAACATCCATCTTGCTCCGTCCACTGGTTTACGAGGATTCGATGAAAGTCTCGACAAAGACGGAACAATAAGGATAACGGCAGTTCATTCAAGCTACTGTATTCGCTAGACTGTTTTCCTACATGCAAGTTGACATGAGTCGAATACTTTCGTCGGTTGTATCTCATTGTGCGGGTACGACGATTATGACCACCTTGCAGACCAGGTGCATCTATTTCCTATCCACTCCTCGTCATAGATCATTATTCTAAATTTCACAATTATTGTTATTAAGAGCAACTGTCCGCCAATTCTCAGAGAAGTCAGGTTTACTCAAGCTAAATCGACTCTATCCAATCATCAGACGCGATCCAAAAGGTCCAAAGGCGCTCGATCCTTCCTGTCCGACGTGCACTTGTCTGATCGGCCGCCTTTCTTGTAAAGTCCTGCCTACAGTACGACAACTCCTACATCTCTAAATTCCTTAGGCTCTCGTCAACAGCCTGCGGTCTGCGGTCTAAATGAGCAGCCGTGAGTGCTCTCCTCGTCAAGATGCCTCACCGAATTAACATTCCTCCTGCGACCCGAACTTGTCTCGTCAGCCTCGTCACGCTCTCCTTGCTGTACAACATCGCCCGATGGCGACAAATTGGCCCGACGGGGAAAACACCTACAGCGACACCTATTGTTCCCTACTTGACCCTTGTCCCATCGCAGTTCTTCTTTTACCCATGGACCCTACTTACGGCCACATTCGTGGAGCAGAATATCTTTACGGTACTCCTTAACGCCGCTACTCTGTTCTATGGTGGGAAATACTTGGAGCGCGCTTGGGGTTCCAGAGAGTTCGCGAAATTTATTGTCATTATCGCAGTTGTTCCCAACCTGGTGGTAGCCCTGGTATACCTACTATGCGCCGCCATAGGGGCGAGTTCAGTGAGCGGGTAAGAAATCTTCTCCCAGCACGACCGCATAACCTCTGGCGCTCTATCTGCTGACTCCCATCTCTAAGCCTAACGCAAATATGTGGTGGCATTTCGATTCAGTCGTCCTTCCTCGTCGCCTTCAAACAACTTGTTCCCGAGCATACGGTCACGATCTTCAAAGGCCTGGTCAAGATGCGCGTGAAACATTTCCCCGCCCTGTTTCTGTTGCTCAATACAATTAGCGGGTTGGTTTTCGGAACGCAAGTCGCAGCGCTCCTCGCGTGGCTAGGCCTGTTGGCGAGCTGGTCCTACCTGCGATTCTACAAGCGGCAGCCAGACCTCATGGGCACATCGACAGACGGACAAGGAATCAAGGGTGATGCAAGCGAGACTTTCGCGTTCGCTTGCCTCTTTCCAGACGTTATGCAGCCGCCGATTGCATTTGTCTCTGATCAGATCTATATGCTCCTCGTGGCACTCAAAATTTGCACGCCATTCTCGGAGGAAGACATTGCATCCGGGAACCAGCAAGTCCTCGCCAGAGGTGAGGCCGGTCTGCCCAGCCTGCTCAGCAACCAAAGAGGCGGAGGAATGCGTGGTATAGGAAAACGTGAAGAGGTTGAACGAAGACGGGCGCTGGCACTCAAAGCGTTGGACCAGAGACTCCAAGCCGCCGCCGCCGCAGGAAGAGCTCAACCCCAGTCGTCTACATTGAATCAGGCCGGTCCCAGCCACGCTCACGCTGCGACCCCGACTGTCTCGACGGGACAGAGTATGCTGGGGGAAACGAGCTACACGCCTGATCATGCATGAGCCATACATTCGTCGTTTTGCATGACCACTCTGGAGATTGCAATCTCCCATGAGATATTGATAACTCAAATTGGGGACAAATGAGATTTTATTATTCTCAACCGCCTACACCGTCACAAACGCTGGCTTCTGCAGTTTCCCCTATGTAGTGAAGGCAGATTTTCACGGGAGGAACTAAACTGCTTTCTTCGAAGCTACTGGGACCTCCCGTACTATGTTCTTGTTTATGTTGTCACTTGTGGTGGTGGAATCTGGTCAGATGATATGATGTATATGGCGTGAAGTCGATATGCAAAGTAAGGTAGTTTATGAGTCAGAGTCGTGAAATCTCTCTCATCCGCATATCCAAATATCCCCAAGTATTCCCAAGACAATCTTGTAAAAGAGTTTTCCCAAAACTACAGGATCAGAAATAAAAATAAAGGCTATGTTACAATTGATCATGCCGATGTCGTTTCCACAGTCAAAACCCATCTCAAAAACAGAGCTATGTACCCAGAGACCTCAGAATGCGAAGAAAACATTCTCCAAACCAAAACCCCAAAGAACGATATCTTACAACTGCCTCAATTTCTCCACCTCGCCTCTCGCCTCCTGTAACATTCGCTCTTGGTCCTTCTTCGCCTGCCGGATAGCACTCACCCGCGCGCGGTCCTTATCCGACTGCTGACGCATCTTCTCAAGCTTCTTCAGCTCGGCCTCCTCGTCGGCAGTCGCCTGCAGCTCCTCCGCCCCCGTCATCATCTTAACCTTATTCCAGATCTCCTTGTGGTCGAGGTTTTTGAGGTCAACGACGGCCGTCTTCTCTGTCTCTGATGGCGCAGGGGCGTACTTGTCCTGGACCTGGGAGGCATTCAGTGCCGCGGCTTTGCTGGCTTGTTCGGCGAAGTATATCGTTAACGCGGCGGGTCCTTCCTGCTCATCGGTTTGCTTGACGGTCATCCGGACACCCGGGTTATAGAACTTGAGTCGAGGCAGGCAATTGCGCCAGAAATGTCGTGCGCCTTGGTGGCCGCCGTAGATCTTGCGGGCGTATGTGAGGTGCAGTCGGGTGATGGCTGGGAATTCTGCGGTTGCTTTTGAGGCAGCTGGGAGGATTGCAGCACCTGTCCCAACGCGGACGTTGAGGATCTGTACGATTGAATTGAGTTAGCGAATGGTATATTCGATCCAAGGTTGGGTTTGTTGTATTGAAGGGGACGCAGCTGAGGCTAGAATTGAAACCAGCTCGCGATACGAAGGACAGCGGAATGTGTGCATTTAGAGAAATGTAGCGGATCATACCCTCTAGAGATTCTAGGTCAGTAAAATGGTTCAATGAGCAGACAGTGTGAGGTGGCCGGACAACGTACAGTCTTCAACTTCCGCATCCGCTTGAACAGGTTCACCATCTTGAGAGTTGTCGGAGCGCACAAGGACCAGGTCCTTGTGACAGGTGGGATGAATAGAGAAATTGACAAGACCAATGATGAATTAACAATCAACTCTCAATGACTACTCCGTACCAGCGGGGACAGTAGGGCAGTTCTGGCTTAAAGCTTAACTTCAATTTCTGGAAACACGGCGGAAAGAAAACGCTCTGATATATACTCACGTGACTTTTATAGATAGCCTACCTTCATGCTTGATGCTGTCTTGTTAAGCATGGTAGTCAATGTCAAGAAACTCTCACGTAGTAGAAAAGTTTTCCACTTGTAGATCTCAATGACACATATCAATTCATGCTTGCTCCTTGCTATCCTCGAGGCCTCTCTGCTTTGAACTCACCCTCGTTCACAGGGAAGTTATGCATGTGACTCAACGCGGAAACTACAGCTTTTCCAACCATATTCGTAAATTGCATTACAATTTTTTCAAGTAGACTGCAGAAGAACATCTATTTGATTCATATGACTACACCACTGTTACCTGTATAGCCAGCATCAATCTGAGCTGATGGTCTGCCCTCCGGACTCCACCAAAAGCAGACAGATGGCACGTGCGCAATAAATACAACTACTGTCACCGCCATTACATACGCCGTTTTGACTCACAAATGGCCGGCAAGAATTTCGTTTGATAGAGCCAAACCCCGCGGTGGATATATAGGTAGTGATTGACCTCCACAACCACGCCTCAGGGCTCTCCCATTTTCTGTTTGCATCACTTCAATATTGAGAGCCATGGCAGCCGCTGCTGCATCTGCTGCTGCGCTCGACCCGGGCAACAGCACCAAGAATACTCTTAAACTCGAAAATGTTCGTACAATCTATTACCCCTCCCCCTCATTGAGCATTTCCGTGTGCATTTACAGCTAATTGCTTCTTGTCGATCTAGACCGAGAAGAGAGACTCTCTTATCGCCATCGAGAAGAAATACCAGGCACAATGGAAAGAGAAGAAGGTGTTCGAGGTCGATGCCCCGTCTCTGTCGGAGGTCCCTGCCAGCACCATGTCAGCCGCAGAGCTTCGGGAGAAGTACCCAAAGTTCTTCGGAACCATGGCATATCCCTACATGAACGGTACTCTTCACGCCGGTCACAGTTTCACGGCCAGTAAAGTCGAATTCATGACCGGCGTTGCCCGCATGGAGGGTAAGAGGGCTCTTTTCCCTCTGGGATTCCACTGCACGGGTATGCCTATCAAGGCCTGCGCAGACAAGCTTGCCGACGAAGTCCAGAAGTTCGGCAAGAACTTTGAGCGCTACAGCGAAGAGAGCGAGGAGCAGGACCCCACTGCAGTTGCAGCCCCTACGCAGGAAGTCAAGGCCGAGCAAGAGAAGTTCTCCGGAAAGAAGAGTAAGGCCGCTGCGAAGACCGTGAAGATGAAGTATCAGTTTCAGATTATGTTGGCCATCGGCTTGCCTCTCGAGGAGATCCACAAGTTCGCCGATGCTAACCATTGGCTCCACCACTTCCCACCCCTTGCCATTCGCGACCTCGACAGCCTCGGTGCTAGAATAGATTGGCGCAGAGAGTTGGTCACGACCGACGCCAATCCTTACTACGACTCTTTCGTGCGCTGGCAGATGAACCGCCTCCACGAGCTTGGCAAGATCCTGTACGGCAACCGCTATACTATCTATTCGCCGAAGGATGGCCAGCCTTGCATGGACCATGACCGCACGGAGGGGGAGGGAATTGGTCCGCAGGAATACACCGCGATGAAGTTGCAGGTGAAGGAGTGGGCCCCAGAAATTTCTGATCTGGTCAAGGGAAAGATTGAGGATGATGCCAAGGTTTACTTCGTGCCTGCCACTCTGCGTCCAGAGACAATGTACGGACAGACTTGCTGCTTCCTTGGTCCCAAGATCAAGTACGGAATTTTCAAGGTCAAGGAGAAGGAATACTACGTCGCGACCAAGAGAGCGGCCTGGAATATGGCCTTCCAGGGAATTTTCTTCGACAGCGAACACTTCCCCAAGACGCAGGACCAGCTGCCACTCGTCCTAGAAGCGCCTGGTTCCGCCTTTGTGGGTACCCTTATTAACGCCCCACTGTCGTTCCACACCGAGGGTGTGCGCATTCTGCCTATGGAGGGTGTCTCTGCCACCAAGGGTACCGGCGTCGTCACATCAGTCCCCTCGGACAGCCCTGACGACTACGCTACTTTAATCGATCTTGCAAAGAAGCCAGAATACTATGGCATCAAGAAGGAATGGGCCGAGCTGGAGATCTTCCCTCTTATTGAGACCCCGACATACGGTAACCTCACCGCCCCTGCCCTTGTCAAGAAGCTCAAGATCAACTCTCCCAAGGATGTCAACCAACTTGCACAGGCCAAGGAGCTGGCGTACGGCGAAGCCTACTACAAGGGTACTATGTTGGTTGGTGAATTCAAGGGCGAGCCAGTGAGCGCCGCCAAAGAGAAAATCCGCAAGTCCCTCTACGACAGCGGCGACGCCTTCCCCTTTGCTGATCCTATGGGCAAGGTTGTTAGCAGAAGTGGAGATGACTGTGTCGTTGCCTACCTTGGTCAGTGGTTCTTGAACTACGGAGAGAATGACGCGGAGTGGCAGCAGGAAACCTTGAAATATGTCGCCAACGACCTCAACACGTACCTGCCCGAGACCAAGCACGGTTTCGAGAAGAACCTAACGTGGCTGAATCGATGGGCCTGTGCGAGAACCTATGGTCTGGGATCCAAGCTCCCATGGGACCCTAAATTCCTCGTTGAGAGTTTGAGTGACAGTACCGTCTACATGGCCTACTATACCGTTGCTCACTACCTGCATGGCGACCGCTATGGTAACACGCCCGGTCCGCTAAACCTCAAGCCGGAGCGGATGACTGATGAGGTCTGGGACTACATCTTCACGAGACGTGAGCTTAGCGACGAGCTCATCGCAAAGAGCGGTATCAGCAAGGATGCACTGCTGAAGATGCGTAGAGAGTTCGAGTACTGGTACCCTCTGGATGTGAATATCTCTGGCAAGGACCTCATTCAAAACCATTTGACTTTCTTCCTTTACATTCACATCGCGCTCTTCCCACGGGAATACTGGCCCCGCGGCGTCCGTACAAACGGGCACCTACTCCTGAATGGGGAGAAGATGAGCAAGAGCACGGGCAACTTCCTTACACTTAAAGATGCTGTCGACAAGTTCGGTGCTGACGCCTCTCGTATTGCATTCGCCGATGCTGGTGATGGAATCGAAGATGCCAACTTCGACGAAAATGTCGCAAACAGCAATATTCTCAGACTCTTCACGCTCAAGGAGTGGATTGAGGAGACTGTCAAGGACAACTCCCTGCGCACAGATCCAGAATACTCGTTCTGGGACAAGCTGTTCGATAATGAGATGAACAGCCTGGTTCGCGAGGCCATCAAGCACTACAAAAAGTGAGTTTCTGATAATCCTATATGTTGCACTTCCAATGGCTAAACCCATCTCAGTACCGATTTCAAGCTCGCCCTGAAATCCGCTCTCTTTGACTTGACTAACGCTCGTGACGTCTACCGTGAGGCCGCAGTTTCGGCTGGTGTCGGAATGCACCGTGACGTGGTCCTGCGCTATGTTGA